ATTGGGCATCCCGCAGCGGCCGCCGAACCACGACTGTCGCCGCTGCTGGGGCAAGAGACCGCCATGTGATACTGTTCGCGCACAGCTCTCTCGACGTGGCCGATCTTGCGCCAGCGTGAAATTCGCAGAGTTCTTCCTCCGCGACACAGGCAGGGGATTTGGGCCGCCCCCCATCGCGGGGGCCTCGGCCTCACGGCCCAATGGGGTCGCCTGGTGCTGCTGGCCCGCCCGCCGGGCACTAGCCGATGCCGCTGTCGCTGCAATGCGCGACGTCGTGGCCTCGGGCAATGATTTGCGGCCATCGCGCTCTAGCATGTCGCATGGCGGGCAGGCGCGCTCTGTCGCGGGCCTCGGCGGGGGGCCCTCGACCGCCCTGCCGAAGCCCTACGATCCCATCTCGCGCCCGACCGGCTGCGCGGAGTCGAATGGGGCCGCGGGACTGATGATGGCCCGATTTGTCCTCCGATCTGGCGCTGGCGCGACGCCAGATCCTGCCGCCCGGGACTGAGGCGCGCGCGCAATCCCCGAGGGAGGCGCGCTCGGCGCCGGCGGCGGCTCCTGCGGTGCAGGCTCGAGACCCTCGGGCGGGTCGAGCGTCGCGGGCGGGGGCGGCGGGCTGCGCTCGATGACCCCCCTGGCTGGACACCCGATGCGTCTTGCACTGCCGCCCCCGCCCCCGTCGCGAAGGGGTCGCCGCCCGAGGCCTGCGCTGGCGGGGCCACTGGGTAAACTAAGGGTCCCTGGAGCGCCCCGCGCAAATTGGCCTGCGCCTCGAGCCTCGCGCAAGTGGCCGCGGCCTCGCCCCGCTCGACGCGGAGCGACGCGTCGGCGGCGCAGAGGGCCCCCTGCCGCTGCAAACAACTGCTGCTCCTCACGCTGCTGCGCGCGCATCTCGTCAATGCGCTGCTAATGGGGGGGCCGTGAGTTCGCGAACTTCTTGCCGTCGCTCTGCCCGCGCTGCAAATGACCCCTGACGTGCCAGTTGCGCTTCGCGGTCTTCCGTTTCCCTCGCAAGCGCTTCTGCCTGTCGAGCGATGAGAGCCGCCTGCGTGCTCTGAACGTTGCGCCCCTGCTTTTTGGTGTTGGCTTTCCTCTGCGGCGCGGGCGCTCTCCTGGACGCTGCGCTGCGTCTTCAGTTGAGACAGGGCCAGCTGCTCGTCCACTCGGGCGCTGCGCTGACAGCGAATCCGATGCCTAGCCCGCGCCTGGGCCCTGGTTTCGCGGGCGCAGCTAGCCCGAGAGAAACATGATTCTTGTTTGGCCGTCGTGGCCGCTTGCGCCTCGCACTGCGCCAGGTCCCCAGCGCTCTCGGCCAGTTGGGCCTCGGTCTTCGCGATGTTCTCGACCCGCTGAACGACTGCGTCGATGGCCCCGCGCTCTTCCTTCCTGGCGAACTCGATGTCGGTCTGGCGCGCGAGGCCGCGGGCGTCGACCTCGCCCCGTGCCATGTCGAGGTCGCCCAGCGCGCGGGGGATGCACGGGGTTGTCTGCTATCTGTCTCCCCCGATGGCATCGCGCATCTCAGTGGCCGCATCTCTCTCCACTCGATGCGCATGCCGCTGCGCTGCCACATGTAGTCGCACGTGCTTTAACGGTTGATGGCGTTGGTCTCCCGCTGCTGCTGACGCTGCTTCTCGCGCTGATTGAGCAGCCACCCCTGCTGATCTTGCCCTGCGCCTGCTTTTCCAAGATCGCGAGCGGGCACGGCACGGCCTCCGCTGCCGGCGGCTGCACGCGCGATGGACTGCGCTGCCGCGGGGGGCTGCGCAGCTGCTTGGTCTGTTCCCCGTAGTCCGTCATCTGCATCGCCAGCTCCTCAATCGCCTCGGCGATGCGCAGCACTGGTCCACAATTGGCGCCCTGAACCCGCCGGGGCCACGCGGGCGCTCCGCGGCGCCGCGTTCCGCGGTGCACCTTCCTCCTCGACCCCAGTTGTGGACCCACGCGCTGCGTAGAGATGGCCACGGCAACGCTTTGATCGGCATGGCCCCGTGGATTTGCCACACCCGCTGAAGACGTCGTCGTCCGCGTCCGCGTCCTTCTCGTCCTTACTGGCCTTGAGCGTGACGATCTGGGGGTCAACTGTTTGCGCCTTCCTTCTAGGAGCTTGATCCTCTTGTCGCAATCCTTGGTTTGGGCGGTTTCCTCTTGCCTCTTGGCGATGTCACCATCGATATTCTCAGCTGCCTTCATGAGCCACATCAGCTGTGAGGGTCTTGCCCCGAGGGCTAGGGGGGTGGCATTCAGCATCACGACTTTCCCCCCTTCATCTGGACGATCAAACTCGGCCGCCCTCTGCGCCCTGATGACCCCCGCGACGGTGCTGATACGCATGATCAGATTTGTCTTTCACAGGTTCCTCTGGGCCGCGTCCGCCGGGGGCCCCTGCCTGGCTGCGCCCTTCCTAAGCCCCTTCCAACGGCATGAACACCGGGTCCTCTAACGTTGGTTGGTTTTCTTTGTGGATGTTGTCCTTCTTTATTTGTGTTGCTGTTGTCGCTTCTTGCTGTTCCGCTGTTCTGGCGGCATCCATCTCTACTTGCAACCGGAACACTCCCAGCAATGGATGGAACCCTGGGTGCGGCACCGCGGACATGTGTACATCTTTGCTGGGCACTGCGCCCAACGATGAGCTCGTCTCGCTGCCACACGTCTCGAGCCCTCAAGGGTGTGACTCTTGCTGTGGCGCGTTCGCCACGCAGCCGCCGGTGCCAGGCCGCCCTGGCGGGCCTCGGCGTGGCGCCTCGGCGTGGCGCCTCGCCACGCCCGGGGGCGCCAGGGGCCTCGCCACTGTCGTCGCTTCCGCGCGGCCGCTGGCGCCGCGCGGAGAAGGCGGAGGAGGAGGAGGAGGAGGAGGAGGAGGAGGAGGAGGAGGAGGAGGAGGAGGAGAGGAGGAGGAGGGGGAGGAGGAGGAGGAGGAGGAGGAGGAGGAGGAGGAGGAGGAGGAGGAGGAGGGAGGGAGGAGGAGGAGGAGGAGGGGGCCGCAGGTGGCCCTCGCCGCGAGGATGGCGCGCGCCGCGGCACGCGAGCGCGGCCGCGCGGGCGGGCCGAGCCGACCCGGGGCCTGCACCGCAAGCGAACGGGCGGCAGGCGCGAGCAGTGCCGATCGCTTGGTCGGGACCCGCGGGCCCGCGTGAGGCCAAATGGGTCTTTCTCCCCTAGGTTCCCCTCGCCCCGACGGTGTGCTGCGCTGCTCCCGCGCACCTGTTCACGAACTGTACAAAACAGTGGTTTGCCAGTCCCCGAACAAGGCTTGCCCGTGGGGGGTACTCAACAAGGTCCCCGACATGGCTTGCCAGTCCCCAACAATGGTTTGCCAGTCCCCAAACAAGGTCCCCAAACAAGGCTTGTCCCGGTTAGGTTGGTTTGCTGGGCGTTCAGGCCGCATGCGGACGCCTTTCGGCCCCGTTCGGCCCGTTGCGCCATGTCTTTTCGATCGGAGCGTTCTTGGCCCTTCAAAATTGGTTTGTCCGCTGCAACCTTGGCCGCTTTCCAATGTGGGCCGCGTGTCCATGCCCAGTTACGTCGATCAGATTCGTTGGTATCGTCCTCCTGTTTCCCCTCTGCCTTCATCCTGCTCGACCTTCTCCTCCTGTTCCTTTTCCTCCTCGTCCACTTCATCCTTCCCCATCCGCCTCTTCCTGCTAATCCGCCTTTTCCTCGAAAGTTCTGGCTGGATCCTCCTCCGAGAGAGCCCCTTCTCTTGGGTCAAATCCTGCAAGTGCCATCTGGGGATCAGGGTCATCTGAAAAAAGGCGCCCCAATCGGCAGATAGAGAAGGATTCGACGAAACGGTACACTGTACGTCCGAGAGGTTGGATGTCAGACGCGGCGCGAGCGCGCCCAGCCTGCCTCCCTCCGACTCTGTCATCCCCCCTTGATCCGCAGTGCCCGCAGGCACCCATCTGTCGGGGGCGACCATGGGGGGGAGTCCAAGGAGGGGGTTCGCACATCATGGTCCGAGGCACGTTCGCGGTCCAAGGGGGGGCCAGGGAACGCATTGAAACAAGAAGAGGCGCCATAAAATCTGGGGAGGTGTCGTGGTCCCTGCCATGTCATCCCCCCCCCTTGGCCGCCCCCGCGGCAAGCGCGTGGTCAACAAAGCCAGGCGCGTCAGCCGACGGAGGGCTTGTTTTCAGCACCCACACGGATAATGACAGTCTACCCCGGTGCCAGCAACGTGGAGCACCCTGGAAAAGGAGCGAAAAGGAGTTGCAAAGCAACTCGCTGAAGCTTCCTGTCGTCCCCCTGACGCCCCATGGCGCGCCCAATCGCGCGCAATCGCATGGCGCTATTGGTAAATTGGTCGCTAATGAACAATATTTTAACTCTACTCGGCGCAACACTATTTTTGACGCTATTCGGCGCTATCCGGCACCAGTCACCGATATACATTCAATCCACGACGAGAATAAACCTCCGCGCTCTACAATCTAATGGGAAAATCGGGAACGCACTCTCCTGGGGCCAGCGCTGACCGAGTTCAGCCAATGCCAGGCCCCGAATCCGGGCTTGTCACGGAGTAGCTCTCTAACCCGGGCCAGCGGAAGGTCAGAAGGGAATCGGCTCCAAAAGGCCCCAGAACTGGTCGTCAGCTGCGAGGGATTGGATGACCCCTGTTAGTGTTGAAAAATGTCTCGGCGTCCCCGGGGGGGGGGGAGAATAGGGAGGCACCGGCACTCTCCCCCTTTCACCCCGTCCCCTTCCCGCTCTGTGCTGTCCAACTCTGGCGTGGATTCATGTGCGTGTACGTCCTTCTCGCGCTCGGGACACTCCCCCCCCCTCCACTCCCCTCCTTCTCGCGCTCGGGACGTCCCCCCCTTCTCGCGCTCGCGCTCGGGACATCCCCCCCTCCGCTCCACTCCACTCCTTCTCGCGCTCGGGACATCCCCCCCTTCTCGCGCTCGCGCTCGGGACAATCCCCCCTCCCTCCGCTCCACTCCTGCACTGCCCCGCCCCCCGCCGTCGAGCTTCCCTGGCCCCCCCCGCCCTCCCCGTGCCAGGCACTCGGCTGCGCGGCGGAGCTGCAGCTGCGGGGGGGGGGCGAGGGAGGGCGGCGCGGCCGGATGGAGGAGGGCGAGTTCGACGAGGAGAGCGGAGAGGGGGGAAGAGGAAGGGGAAGGAGATGGGGTAATCTGAAAGGGGGCGACAGGGCAGGATGGCAGAGGGCAGGGTTGGGGATCAGCTTGCGAGGCCCGTTTTTTCAGCGCCTCCTGGCGCCGGGCGGCGGCGGGGCAGAAACGAGCTGCACGCAGCAGAGTTCGTACCCCCCCCCTTTCCCTATCCGACCCTTTCGTCCAGCCCAAGAGAAGCAGGGGAAGGAAGGGCAAACGAGCGACAAAATGGACCAAGATCAGGACCAGGAGGAAGGATCAGGACAGGAAGGGGGTCAGAAGCAACGAGGGATGGGACCGCGCAGGGGCAAGAGGGAGGTCATGCACGGACGATACACAATAATCAAGGGAGGACCAATTCGCCGGCCCAACGGGCCAGAGGCGTGCTAAGATCTCCGGTAACTGGTAAACAGTATTTCTAGTTCGCGCGCGCGGGGCGGCCCCTGGGGGTCCCTGGATCAAAAGTACCCCGGGCGGAGCCCGGGACACTCCCCCAGATCCTCCAGGATCGCCCCAAGAGGGCCCCAAGAGGCCCCCAACACAATCCAAGAGAGGTCCGAGACGCCCGAAGATCGCTCCACGGCGCCCAAGATGGCCTCCAGACGGCCCAAGACGTCTCCAAGATGACCCAACAAGCCTCCAAGATGCCCCAAGAGACCTCCAGGAGCACTCCCATGAGGGCCCCAAGAGGCAAAAATCCATGCTTTTTCTTAGGTTTCGGACAGATTTGGGCGTTTCAACCTTTTCGCTTCCCCGACGCCCCTAAACGGCTCAAGAGGCCTCCAAGATCGCCCCAAGAGGGCCCAAGAGGCCCCCAAGAGGGCCCCAAGACGGCCCAAGACGGCTCCAAGACGGCCCCAGAGGCCTCCAAGACGGGCCAAGAGGGCCCCAAGAACGCCCCCAACACGGTCCAAGAGAGGTCCGAGACGCCCGAAGATCGCTCCACGACGCCCAAGATGGCCTCCGGACGGCCCAAGACGTCTCCAAGATGGCCCAAGAAGCCTCCAAGATGCCCCAAGAGGCCTCCAAGAGAACTCCCAAGAGGGCCCCAAGAGGCAAAAACCTGTGCTTTTCCTTTGGTGTTGGACAGATTTGGGCGTTTTAACCTTTTCGGTTTCCCGACGCCCCTAAACGGCTCAAGAGGCCTCCAAGATCGCCCCAAGAGGGCCCAAGAGGCCCCCAAGAGGGCCCCAAGACAAGACGGCCCAAGACGGCTCCAAGACGGCCCCAGAGGCCTCCAGGACGGCCCAAGAGGGCCCCAAGAACGCCCCCAACACTACACAGCTCCCGACGCCGCAGCTCCACACTGCAAACGACCACTCGGACAGGCAACCACGGTGCGACATTATGGGCCGGCGGAATGAGCGAAGCGATTAAATAACAAGATTGAGGACTCGGACGAGGAGGGGATCAGGAGCAGGGGGAGGGGGACCGCCCGGACAAGAGGGAGGGCGTTGGCATCGCGGATGGCGATAAGAGAGGACCAGAGTCAGCGGGGAAGAGTAGGCCGGAAAGGAGGGTCAGCAGCAAAATGGAGGGGACCCACAATGCCAGCTTGCGCTCAATAAGGACAAGCGGGGCGCACGACTTGAACGTTATCCCCCAGCTCGGGCGAATCGCGGGGGGGGCGCCCGACGAATGAAAACGCGCGGCAGCAGCGCCTGAGGTCAGCGCCGAAGCCCAGGCGCCAGCGAGAGGGCGACAGGAGCAGCAACGCTTCTGCTACAGCGAGGCGCTCGGGCCAAAACTGGCCACGGACTGGGGGGGGGCACGGGCGGCACGGGCGGCAGAGGCAAGGGCCGTCGCCGCCGCCACCGCTGCATTATTTTCCTGTTTCGCATACGAGCGGGGCAGCCGTCGCCACGATGGAAACGGGCCCTGAAGGAAGTGAGCCCCGAACCCTGAAGCTCCCGCGCCTCCTCCTCCCCCTGCTCACCCTCCTCCTCCTCCTCCTCCTCCTCCTCCTCCTCCTCCTCATCATCCTCTTCCTTTTCCTCCTCCTCCTCCTCCTCCTCCTCATCATCATCATCATCATCCTCATCATCATCATCATCATCATCATCATCATCACCATCATCATCACCATCACCACCACACCATCACATCACCATCACCATCATCATCATCATCATCATCATCATCATCATCATCCATCACCATCACCATCACCATCACCATCACCATCACCATCACATCACCATCACCATCACCATCACCATCATCATCATCATCATCATCATCATCATCAGCAGCAGCACCATCATCAGCACCATCATCCTCACCATCATCATCATCAGCATCAGCATCATCATCATCATCGTCAGCATCATCATAATCAGCATACTAATCATCATCAGCATCAGCATCAGCATCAGCATCATCATCA